AGCCATTTCCCTCCTTACAGACTACTAGCAGTCAGCTTTCTGCAAAGATATTAACACTCTGAAATACCAGCAATTGCCTAAATAAAGGCAAAACTTAATGCAGAGAAGTATCCTGCTGTAAAAGGGAAGCTGGAAGGACAGAGAGTCAGATGTACAACCCCGGCGGCCGCCAAGCCCAGCCCTACCTGACCGGTCCTCGCCGACTGAGCCTGCCCGCCCAACACCGATCCGATTCCTTCTGTCGGCTTTTGGTCCAGGAGCTGGCGCTCCCCTTGTGGGCATGGTGAACGTTTATTTTATTTTAATGCTTAACCAAGGAAATTTGCAGTAACGAATGATCTAGAAACAGAATGAAACCCGCATTTGTACTGCACAGGGTAAACAGCTTTTTTTTGTTATTATTTATTGTGAAGAAAAAAAGCCCTTAGCCTGACACTAGATATATCAGTTAGAAAAAAGCCCCCAATGTTTTGCTACATCCTCCATAGGGGTCCTTGTTTTTCCATCTACAAACCACACTAAGAACAACTGCTTCTTTTGTACATTTAACCGAGCCAGATATTTTATTATATTTGTCTCAAATTATTAATCTTACCACTTTTTCTTCTTAGCAATGTCTTACTAATGAAAAAAAAAAATCTTATTTCCATTAGTTTCATAATCTCCATGAATTCTCTTCTGAAGTCTTCCCCCCCACCCCAGCCTTGCCAATATATATTGTTCTTCACAAATGCTCTTGGTATTAAAACTTTTTGACCTCCTTATCAGCTGTACCCTTGTGCACTGCGGTTTCCAATTAGGTTAACTACATTTCTTTGCCTTCAGATACATGTTTGTGGGTGTAGGTATAATCTAGGAGTAATCTTGCCAGGTAGTTTCTTGTCTTGCTACGTAAATGGTTTCTTGGAAAGAAAATATAACACTCACTAAAAACTTCTGACAGAAGAAAACTTTTTTTTTTTTTTCCCCTTTAACGACTCTGTTTGGCAGTACACAATATTCCTACCAGAAGGGGTGGGAAGATTAATGGCCCTGTTCTGCAGCAGCTAGAGTTTAAGGACAGAGAGAAGACCTGACTTTAGAGCATGTGGTACACAGCTGGAAATTATCACATTAAGTTCTTGGCACACAAGGCCCAAAATAAAGGCAGAAGTAATCAACATGATACACATTTGGCAGTCACTCCAATTTAATGTGCATTAAATTGGGAGAGGTTAGAAACTCTAGTCTCTTCCAAGAGCTATCAACTCCTTCCCCGTGCTCCTCTCCAGCACTTCCAAGGACGTCCTCTCCTCTAGCAGAGATATGATGGCCAATACGCAGCTTACAAAACCCCAACTACCCTTCACACCTGGTATTTAGCTCTGACATTTCCTGCTGCTTTTTAGGACCTGAAGAAGGGCTTGTGTACAATTTTCTTCCTACCCACCCAGCCAAGGAGGTCTCCTCCCAACCCTCCAGCAGTCTTGTGTGGTACCTCCAGGCTTGGGCCTGCCATAGCATGGCTGTCTCCATCCCTCTCCCCTCTTTGCCCTTGGAAAGGGGGAGACTTGCAGCCCCATCCAGGAGGGCCGGGATGTGGCTGTGCCAGGGAATACCCCCCACACCCACCAGCCCTTACCTGCCAGGCAGCTCCTCCCTGGCTCCATCACCACGGAAACACAGGGCTCTCACCACAACACAGGGATGCCCACCCCCTTCCTCCCTCCCTCCCCAGCCCCACAAAGCTCTGACCCATATCTTCTCCCCACCTTCCCAGGAGAACAACCCCCTCCCCCCAAAATCAGAAGCCGCAGAGAAGAAAGAAACAGGCCAAGGCTATTTCTTTTTTTCCTCCCCTAATAGCAAAATATATTTCAACTGCTGTAATACAGTAGATTATAACAGCTCTTCTGCATGACAGAACACAGTACAGGATGCATACAGGGAACCGCTGGTGCCAGGGCAGGGCCTGTGCACAGCTCTGCTTGTGCACCATGCCACCGCAGGTGAAGGGGCAGCGATGGCTTCTCGGCCCCAGCCGGAAGCGCAGGGAGAAGAGACGAGGCTGAATGCGGAGGTAACTGTGAGGAGCCGGTTTGTAACTCTGATGTTGCAGAGCACGTGGGGTTGCTCACAGCTCACGCTGGACCGCCGTCCTTCCAGCCCATCTACATTCAAGAAGGTGGGAGCTCAAACAGTTTGGTTTTCCTTTAGGGAGTGGACCAGTTCACATCAACCATGCCATTTCATATTGAAAAAAAATACACCAGGATGTCCCCCTTCTCCCGGGACCACAGCAAGTAGCATATGCTGACGGCTGTCACGGAATAGCATACAGTTAGCAGCTCAGATGCAGGACTACTTCACCTGTGGAGGCTAGAAGTTAAACATCTGGGCAGAAAGGACGTACTAGGCATGAAGCCTCAACAGAGGTTCAGTCTTCCTGAGAACAAACTGTTATCCGCTTGAAAACCGGGACACATTTCACCATATTAATACTGACTTTTGTGATGTTACTGAGCAAGGAGCTGCAGCTGTACTGGCTGCCATTCCAAAGCTTGGAGGCTTCCCACCTCAAAACTGAGTGAGTTACCATGGAAGCAAGCTGCACAATTCTTGCGTTGGAAAGAACCACAGAGAACAGTATATACTATTATTAAGAACTAATAAAGGGCAGGTTGTGAACCTTAGCATCCTCATGATTGACCAGAACACCATACTGCTAGCTCTGGCACTCACAGCCTAAGAAAACTCAAACAAACATGGTATAATTGACTCTAATTAAACAAGCGATGTGCAAAAGACTTCGTATTTCCCCTCCAGTACTCTTGAGAAAAATGAAAATAAGCCCACATTCAAAAGCAATTTAAAAAAAAAAAAAACCATGAAATTGGAAGGAATCCCAATTGTTAATGCCCTGACAGCACGGTTGCCAGATGCCTTGATCTACAAGGCTAAAAACCTCAACCTGTCAAAAACTAAGACTAGTTCCAACAGCTGAGCATCCCTTTCTGGTTACCTTTTGCTTGCCAGATGCTCAAGTTCTCAGGCTTCAAACACTCAGGATGCTGACACAGTAAATGCTGATGTTCTTTATTAGGAATACGACAGTGCCAGTTGCAAGGGAAACACTAAAACTTGGCACAAAGTGCCACGATTTGATCTCCTTTTGAGAACACTGAGACATTAGCAAGACCTGACACGGGCATCAGGAAGACAAATCAAATCCCTAATCCATCACACCCTATTTGAGTCCAGTTACAGCTGTACATAAGTGTTTTGAGCACCACAAATAAGAAGTACTGGACTGAATTTCATCCTATATTAAGGAGGTGACAAAGCTGTTTGGCCAAAGGGTGGGGTGGTTTTGTTTGTTTTTTAAAAAAGGAGACTTAGTTGCTCCAGCACTTCTGTCCCTTCCTCCAACAAAAGGTATGGTGAAAGATTTACGATTAATCCAACTGAATGAGGAGAAAGTAATCCATTTAATTCGCAGGATCAATTTTATATACTAATACTGCCAAGTTTCAGTATATACATGAACTCCTTCCTCTGAAATTAACCTGTTTCAACAAACAAGTTCTAGAGTAGGAGGTATTTTAGAGGAGAGCCACATATGCAAATGCTGTATTTGGCAAATTCAACCTGACACAATGTCCCTTCTGAAGAGCCAGATTTCTTTGTACAAGAAACTGAAAACCTGGATGACTGTAAGTATCACCTAGCTTTCATGAAATTACTTTTAACTCAGGTTAGTAAAAATATAAGTCCAAAAGACAGTTTTAAGTGGACTGGGAGACAAGTCCATCAACAGCCCCAATACTGCTGGTATCCAATACCTGGGCTGTAGGTCAGTCAGGAAAGGCTGTTACTGAAAAGTGCCAAGAACATCTGAGTAATTCAGAAGTTGCTGAGAACAAAGTTAAGGTACCTCCACCAAGTTACCCTCTCTCTCTCTCCAATAACGGGAGTTGCAGTTCCAGTAAAACTGGAGAGATACATACCCACATACCATGCAAGTTCCCTTTTGTGCTTAACATCTGACAGAACAAGGAAACTGAAGGGACTCTGCCTAATTAATACCTATTGAAACACCAAATTCACATAATTCTTCTCCCTTTAGCAGTGTGTATGGGAGGATGTCCTGCCTCTTCAGAAAGAAGCGGGCAATACCTAGGAAACTGGTCTTCACCTGAAATCCCCACTGATGTAAGAGCAGACACAGGCAGGTGAAAAAGCAGCTCTGACTGCAGCCACTGCATCAACCTTCATTTCCCACCAACGATGTTAGAAGCTGCTACAATACATGTTGGTAAGAGGCACCGAGATGTGCTGACATATTGAACTGGACGTAGCCATTTCAGATGAGAATGCACTATGTACCTGGAAAGTCGATTGCAGTTTCTTACAGTTGGGTCATAGTATTTCAGATCTTTCACACTAAAGAAAGCCTTAACAACTTGTATACCTTAAAGCACCTGCTTAAAGCAAAAGCTCTTTTACAAGTTAATTGTGTTAAAAAGAATTGATTATCTGGAGCAACAGAAAGGAAAAGCCAGAAGAAAAACTATTCCTCAAGTCACAAAGGCCTTCATAGAACAAAAATGTTGTAAGTCAGTTGGGAACTTAATGAATACAGAGAAAACATAAATTTTCAGTGTAAAAAGTCACATAAAGACTGACCACACTGTGCCCTGCTTCTGAACCTGATTCTCCAATGCAGCCACAAATAAACTGACAATCCCCTCCTTCCTCTGCCCGTTTTAAAATCTGCAACATACATAGAATGCAGTTCAAAGCCATCCAGGAATACTTTGGCTATTTTCAGAGCAAGGAGGTAAATATCCTGTTGTTCCGCCACTTGTCCGCGTCGTAGCAGCATACAGGATCACAAAGAAGAGAAGTTTTGTAGATAACCCATTACCAAAAGGGAGAAAAAAATTGCAAAGGGATGGCTAAGGAAGATGGACGGACACCAACAATGAGCTACTAGCAAATCTGACTAGATTATCTATTGTCCAGAAGAGCAGCAATTTGGGGGGGCCCCTGGGTGAGTAGGATTCCAGAAGACTCCACCTTCAGCTCAATGTTTTACTGGCATGGAAATGGCTCAAAGTGGGGCAGCACATAGTGGATGCTGCCTATGAAGCCTGTTGCAATCCAGGTCAACTGGTTTGCCCCAGTAATGTTTAAAAAAATTACAGTTTCTCCCCAATAATCAGGAGGCACAACTTCCCTTAGAAAAAGTCCATAGTGAGTTAGGTCATTGGTCCAAATACTTGGAGGACAACTCTCATCTTCTGTGATGATGACACAGCCCGAGCATGCCATTTTTACATCTTCATATGACATGACCACGAGCGTGGTTTTAAGTAGTCCAGGAACGTGGGCTGCAAAAGATGGAGAAGCAATATGTCAGTCACAGGCAAACAGCACCGGCTGTGGTGTGGTCTGCTGAAGCCAACCTTCCCTAACAGGAAAGATCAAACCACATTTTCACATCCTGCAACCCTATTCTTATCCTCACAAAACACTCTGTAGAAGTGTAGCTACAGTCAGAAGCTGTTTGCCTGCCATCTACCTTACCTTTAGTTCTGACACATCAGCTAAATGCTGGTTCTAGTAGCATATTGTATCAAGAAGTCAGTCATTTAGAATGGCAAAACTCTTAAGTGAGCAGAGTCAAACTTAAAATAGAGTTTGCCCAAGGACACCTTTGGTTAAAACCGAAATCAACTAGGACAGCAAGTTTTATGTAGCAGAGAATCTGATCTCAAGAAAGTGAGTTTTAAGTCAGAAAGTAACACCATCAAAACCCCAGACTGATCATTTATAGGCAACTAATTCTCACTGCCACCCACTCTAGCCTGGGAGAGGCACAATAAGCTCAGTTTCTGTGAGCCTCCTAGAAGAGTTTCTCCTGACCTCATGGGCCAAGTGCTGTAGTTCCCGTCACACAGCCTGAATGGCCTAGCGTACTCTCAAGCAGTGGCTTATGTCCTCAGAGATGTGGGAAAAACACCCCCAGTTTCAAGAAGTGAAATGCCATCAGCATAAGAAGCACACTAATGAAAGCACTTTTGTTAGAAAAAGCTTTCCTAGATCCTCTACAGTTTCTAGACTAAATAACTCCTAATCAATAGCACACTGCCCGGAAGACTAGTGTCATTTAACATCTGCCCTGTCCCCACAGCAAGAAAGGACAGGCCACTTGCATGGTCAGTTATCCCAGAGGAAAGGTCAGTCACTCACATTCTCCATAGGGCAGTACTGGCGGGCATACCACTCCTGGCTATAGAGGCAAATGATGACACCTTGGCCCAGGAAGAGGGAAGTCCACATGATCACATTCCAGATGGGCCCTTTCCGACGGTCATTAAGGATGAAGTTGAAGACCACTGGGAAGAGGTGAAATGAGAAGCATCATTCAGAAACAAACTCAGAATTAAAGAATAAAAGACTCATTGATTTAACTGGATCTTTCCCTCCCTTCGCTTCATCTCTAGAGCAACAAGGCTGCTCTGTGAGGTCAGTATAGTGCAAGAAAATCTGATTGTGCTTGGCAGTAGAGCAAATACTATGAGATGATTCTGACATTTACTTCCAATAAGTTTGCCAACAAGCTGGCCTAGCTGTATGCCTCTGGGGATCAATATTGTTTGTGTTATGCTGGTGAGCAAGACATGCTGGCAGAGGTGGCCTAGAGTTTATTACAGCCCTCTAACTTCCTCTAGCTCAAAATCCAAAATGAAGCAAGAGCTTCAACTTCTAAATGGGCTCTCTTCCTCACTGCAGCAGTAATGTAATACCTGTCTTACACTATGACTTTAAAAGAGGAAGGCTTCCAACTTGCTGACACAGCAATTCAACTAAGGCTTGGCAAAGGGGAAGCAGTGCTATTAAAATATGTAGTGTCTCATGAACAGCAGTACACACATGTATAGCTCTCCCTCCCCACCCATAATTTGCTCATCTGAGTCCCAAAGCTTGCGAACCCAGTGTGTGTATACATGTATCTACTGAGCTACTTGGCTGCAAAAAGCCATTCACAAAGTTTGGACCCACAATTGCAACTCTTGGACAAGAAACACTTCTGTGTGTGAGTGCCTAAAGGATAACTGGCATCAGCATCAGAAGAGCTAAACACGTTTGTTTGAAAGAAAAACAAAAAAACAAACCACAAACCCCACAACCCACTCACATAATCTCTCCTGGGAACTTACTTCCAAAGCACATAAACAGGCAAAAGAGAACTGGATAGAAGAAGCCGAAGCAGATGCTCAGAACATATTCATGCACAGCAGCTGATACTGTGAAGACAGACAGCATAGCTGCTGCTTTGAACTTCTTACCAAAAAACTGGAAGAGAGAAGAATACAAAAATACTATAAGCTATTCTGCTGCGGTTTTAGTTTGGTTGTTTCAACTTTTTTTTTTTTTCACCTGAACTAAGAAGGGCCTCCTTCAGACATACATAAAATATTAACTGCTTTACAGAGCACCCCAGATTTTAGGTGTTTTTCTTCAGGCGTATTTCTGGTGTCCTGCATAAGTACTCAGGTTGAGCCCACTCATGAAATACCTACCACAGCTCATCAAAATAGTACAATGTAAACTCACACTGTGGAGTCAATCCTTACACTCTTACACCTCAGACCCACATTTTACGCATATTAAAGACTTGGAAATGAGCAATGGATCTCTAAAAAACACAGCAGCTACCCACAACAGCTGCGGCAAGACATTTTTGTGCTTCTCAATGGACAGTGATGCTGTGTCTTCACAAATGTACTGTCTTACTTGGTGGTTAAATGTTTAGTTAACAAGAAGAATACATCTGCTTGTTACTCACCCAAAGGAAGTCCCTGTAGGCATAGTAATAGAGCCAGTCATGTACTACCACATTCCAGGTTCGGTAGTAGTTTGCATAGGAAGTGGAGTTCCACCAGTCCTGAAAGCATAGTTGAAAAAAGTAGAAATCTAATTAAGCATAAAACATTCTACGGGTCTCTTCTGGGATATCAAGTTGAAAAATACTGATCAGAGTAATACCAAGCTAATATAACAAGTTGCACTGTGAAATAATGCATTCCATTGCACTTCCAACATTCCACTCTGTATATCAAAGTCTGGTTTTATCCCAAACTGCAGTGGCTGAGATGATAAAAGAATAAAAAGAGTGCCAGCAGAGTTATTGTGTAGGTCTGGTGGCTGGTTCTGTTTGTATATACAGGGTATATTACTTTAAAAACAATTGAGACTGCCAAGTAGAAGTCAGATCTGTTCTACAGCACAGCAACAAACAACTTAGGCCTCAACAGCATAAACCAAACAAAAATCCTGTGGATGCTTTGTTTCGTAAAACAGTCTTCAGTTTCTTCCTCTTTTGTTTTCATTAGGAAAATCATAGAATAATAGAATCATAGAATCGTCTAGGTTGGAAGGGACCTTTAAGATCATCGAGTCCAACCATCAACCTAACACTGCCAAAACCGCCACTAAACAATGTCCCTCAGCACCTCCCGGTGTTTTAAATACCTCCAGGGGTGGCAATTCCAGCACTTCCCTGGCCAGCCTGTTCCAATGTTTGATAACCCTTTTGGTAAATAAGTTTTTCCTAGCATCTGTCTTAAACCTCCCCGGTGCAACTTGAGGCCGTTTCCTCTTGTCCGATTGCTTGTTATTTGGGTGAAGAGACTGACCCCCACCTCGCTACAACCTCCTTTCAGGTAGTTGTAGAGAGCAATAAGGTCTCCCCTCAGCCTCCTTTTCTCCAGACTAAACAACCCCAGTTCCCTCAGCTGCTCCTCGTAAGACTTGTGCTCTAAGACTCCTCACCAGCTGTGCTGAACAGTAACCTGCAAGGAATATACTTCATTTTTCAAGGTGTCTCTGTGTGGGAATAAGAGATGCAAGGTGCATGTCTAGGGTCTGGGTTCTTGTAAAAAGTACAGAGGAAAGGAAGGTTTATATTTTCTTTAGAATATATAACCAAAAATAGGAAAATACTAGTCTGCCAGACAAAGACTGAAGACCACTTGCTCCTTCAGAAGTCTTTATTTCATTCTGAAAGTGAAATTTCTTTAGTCATACTTGCATATCTTTGCTCTTTTCTCATCAAAATCATGATAGCAATTCAATTTCTACAAGTGCAATTTTAGAAGCTTTACAAAGCTTGCTTTATAAACTATAACTCCTGCATCTTACCTTGTAGAACATCCTGTCTGCAAAGCGCAGCATCTCAGCAAATGCATTAAGCCAACAGTGAAGGAACGCAAAGAAAACCAGGAAGAGAATCAGTACACCTAAAAACAAGGTAGATTCAGACTGGTTTTGTAGTGTTTTCTCTCAGCTATAAACAAGACTATGTAACACAGTCAAGACTGTTCTTATAGGCACTGACACAGATAAGCTTTGTGCTACCTATACAAAAGAGTAGAAGTATTTCAGTTTCTCACTACACCAGGTCATGCTTAGACCAGTGGGAAATAGCAAGGTTGTCACAGAGCCAAGAACCTGGCTTTGAAGACAGTTAAATCCAAACCCAAGTTTTTATTTTTGTGCTGCTGACTCTAAAGTTTAACACCATAACACTGAAGTCTGCCCACAAGACCTCCTTCACTGATCTTTGCCTGTCATCAATGCATCTCATATGAAGCACTTCCCCTCCCTTCAGCGTCTTCCATAAAGCTATAGTCACTCATGAATCCAGGTCTTACCTGGCAGAATGGAATTGAAGATGCAGAGGACCAGCCCTCGAAGATTGAAGGTTTCTTGACTACTGTTGTGAAACTGAGGAATGCAGAGTCTCACAAAGATGTAGTAGGCATAGAAAAGCGAACCAAGCACCTGGAGCAAAAAAAATAATAAATCTGACTCTATAACAGAAATGCACAATTAACACATCACCACTTGACAGCTCTAGGAGAGGAACAGCAGCTGCCAACACAAATCAAAATAATTTAATTTACATTGTTGCTAATAAACTTCCCTACGGGTCCAGGCAGAAAGTAAGCCACAGGCATCTCTGTAGCATGTTGACAGCCAGGAGCGAAATCAACTTGTCTTTTCTACTACAGCAGCTGTAAGTTTCTCCTATTCCTATCAACTCAGGATTTACAACACAGAAAATTTGTGCCAACACCAAAGTAAGTGGGGAAGTACTCTGTGATCTAGGTCCGAGACAAGGGCAAAAATAATTCAAAAATTCTTACTGTAGTTAAATTTAATATAAAAGCTTACTTTTCTTTTATCCCAAAGGAGATGTTTACAGGCCAAACAGCCTCAGGCCTTCTTTGGCTCATGAACCCATATTCTGGAAGTTGAGGTCAAAATGCAAGTCACTGCTTTAAGTAGTCTGACAGCTGTAAGCCAGGTGTGTGCTTTATCACCCTCTTTTGTCAAAGAGCAAGCAGCTGAAGGCCTTTTCCATGCTTCGGTGTGGTTTGGGTTTTTTGGGGTTTTTTTGTTTTGGTTTTTTTTAATGTTTTGCTTTTTAAACCATTAATGCATTGTGTGACAGTAAAAGTTTCAATCACACAATGCCATTACTTGGAAACACATCCACAAAAAGCAACTGAAGCTCACATCCAGACAAATGTGAAGATCAGGTCAACCTTGAGCTCAAATAAGCACTGAAGATTTGGACTCCAGACCTAATTATTTCAAATTGGTCTGAGTATCTGCAGGCAGGTAGCTGTGCCAGTGCATTACAATACAGCATCAGTGTACAGAAAGAGGCCCAGAGCACGGATATTGCGCTCCCCACACACACACAGCTTTTGTTTGTATGGAATGGAATCTAAAGGCCCGTTTAAGCAAGGATTTTTTTTGTTTTGTTTGTTTGTTTGTTTGTTTTTCCTTTGACACAACCAGCAATATCACTGTGCAGCAATATCACTGTTTCTTTTTTTAGTCACTAAAATGTACTCCTTTCTGGTAAGCCCACACCAAGTAAACAGTGATTTAATGCCAAAGGGAGAACTGTTTAGCACCACAGTTTAAATGAACTCCGAAAGTGCTTTCTTCAGAAAGCTGCACTACTCACCTGTGCAAACTTGGTAGCTACATAGCCCCATCTTATCGTGGGATTCCTAGGAAAAAGAACACATGATATATCTAAATAGGACCTCAAAGCAGCAAAAACCTCCCTTCAGTTACTGACTTTAGTGACCTATACTATGAAAAAAAAATTGTTTTTGAATTCTAGAGTTCTTAATCTCCTGACATCCCAGAGAAGTCTGCCCAAATTGCTAGTTCCTCACTTTCAACTACAGCAGGACAACTATGGCAACTCCATAAATGGAGAAGTATCTGGAGGGCAGCATTATGCAATTACGTAGGAGGTGATGATCTGCCCGATAGTCACGCAAAGGACTGCTGACTTGACACTGTCAAAGTGCAACCCAGCAAAGTACAGAAAAGTTTGGGAGTTCCCAGTTTTAAAGGCTTCGGCCTATCTCCTCAAACTCAAGAGACAGGGCTGCTTATTAGCACCACATAAAACAACACACAAGCCTACTGCAGCAACTGCGCGTCACTAGATATTCAGTAGCAAGTTCTTGATTTGTTTCATTTCAAGTGCACTTCCCAAAGAAATAAAACCAGAACTGGAAATTCGAAATACTCTTAGTGTCAGAGTGAGTTTTCATGACCAAGTCCTGCTCTTGCCAGGTTACTGACTTAACCACATCTTTATGAAAGCTTTAACTCGTAAATTGAATAGATCACATTCAGAGATGCTTAACATTGGCTTCAGTTTTTAGACTACTTTAATGTTCTATTGGTATTGCTCACATTACCTGGGATAGTTGTCTCTGTAGATGAGGGTGGGAGCAAAAAGGAAGTACAGGTATTGAGAAATTCTGGGAATAGGTACTGTGCCTGGAAGAAAGGGAGATAAAAAGAACACTCTGCAATCTTTCTGCTTACTGAAGTTTTTGGTTTCCCCAGTACACTTTCACAACATACAACCCTCATCGCCTCAAAAAAACATCAGTCTGGAACTAAAGGTATGGGATTTGCAGAGAGGAAACCAAACTAGACTCATCAGATGGAACTGCTCTCCCCATGAAGCACAGTTAACAAGTGAGGGCAACTAACAGGTAGGGCAGCGCTAACTAACGCTGCTAATGATATGACATTCCCTTTCCTCCTAGGGAAGATGAAGCTGTAAGGCCTGTACCAACACGTGGGTTCATGTTCAGCTCTAGCACACCTTGCTGAAAGAGCTTCTGTGCTTCTACAGTTGCTGTCATTTCACCTAGAGCGCTGAACTCTGTGTGTGCAGGCAGCCTATACGCACCTTTTTCTCCTAAAAGCAGAAATAAGTCTTGCTTCAACAGGAGTCTTTAAGACACAGAGATGACTTTGACCTGAACAACAGTCTATCTCATTGCCTATTACCAAATGAAAATGTTCAAGCTGAAATTATGATGCAGAAGGGTCAGCATAGAGCCTCATCACCTGCCCAGCCAAAGTCACCTACTCAAAACCTACCTCTCCAATTCATGAAGGCAGCTCAAAGCAACGGCAGGAAAACAAGAGCTGGTTATGCACTGCTGTCAAATAAAGTAGGGCAAGTTACTCACTGGACTTGTCTTTTACAGACGACAGGACTCTCGGCACATTCTCCCGGACAAATGAATGAGCCTTCATAACAAGACGAACCTGTAAAACCGCGAGAATATCAGTTTAATCCTCTCACTTTCCCAACTTCCCAATAAAGACTGAAACAAGCATTTTAAGGCAACACCTTCAACATCTTGGTTTCTCTCCAATTTACCCCTTTTACAAGGAAAGGGCTGCTTCCTCTGCTCACAGCCTTGTTTAACTGACATGAATTTAAAACTGCAACGTGAAGCATGCAGTAACAATCATGACTCAGGAGAGTCAAAACACATCCCATTTACACTCACAGGACCACAGCATATGCAAGGACTCCGAATTACACCAGTAAGTCACTAACCAATTAGCATTAACTTAAAATTGATGCAAAAAATAAAAAAGCCCCATCCATTTCAGTAGGACAGTATGCTTCAAAATCTTGAAACTGACTCTTTGAAGTTAGATGTGTTCTACAGCAATTACCACTACATTGGAATACGGTGGTGCCACACATAAATAGTCTCCGAAGGACCAAAAGGAAGGCTAGTCCAAAGTTAATTCTTCAAGCCTACACTCTCATATCTGACCATCCTTGTTTTAACCTGATGGTCTGACTAGTCCTCCACATTCCTGCACTCTCTCCCACCTGGCCCTGGAAAAAGAAAATTCCATTTTCAATAAAATTCTGACTACAAGACAAAGACAGGTGCTTCTTTGGAACACAACAGGAAACAGGAACGCCTTATTGACTACGTACTTGCCTTTTTTTTTTTTTTTTAAAGAGGAATGTTACAGCTTCCTTGTGAACTATGGCACAACAGGTTCTTAAAGTTGGTTTTAAGCATTTAGCATCCACAAATCAACTAGAAGTAAACGGAATTTCAGCCTTGAAGAAACCCACAGTAAAACAGAAACCCACAGCCAGAAAAACCCACAGTAAAATCTTATATACAGGCTAAGAAAAACAAGTGGTTTCCAAGTCAAAATGAAATTTACTATCTACTTTTTATCATTAGACTTGCTGCCTGTATGTCTGTCAGTAAGTCAAAGACAAACTCCATCCACAGCCCTGGCTTAATTTAATGAATAAAACCAACAGTTGACTCCTTAGAAAAAAAGGACTCTTTCCATTTTGAAAAAAAGATTCAATATAACCAAAGACATGGGGTAGGGACTTACCTGTTCCAATATTACAATAAAACGGGAAGCTGGAGGCAGGGCATATGATACAGCAACATAGGTTGGTCCAAATCCAAGCCCAGCTGTTTGGAAGAGCATGAACAATGTTCCATAGAAGAGAGAGCGGATTACACGATGGGAGGAACTGCAGTAGCCTTGGGCCCACCAGACGTAAAGGTTGTATGGAACAATAACTGTGGCACAGAACATGCACACCCAAGTACAGAAGACGACTGGGAACTTTCCAAAAACAAAGACCAAGAGATCAAATCCTAGGACCAGCCTAGAAGGCACAAGGAAAGAGACAATACTGAGTGTCCATTGTTTCATTAGAAATACTTCTACTCCACTAAGTGGCTACAAAATGCAAAACTTCTAGATCATAATTGTTAGACAGACTAGATAGTTTTCAGTTCAAAAACAGGGGACTGTCTGTGCCAGATTTAAGTGACCACCCACAAGCACATCAGAAAATAAGAGATGAAGGACTCATGCCATCAGTGCTGTCAGGCACAGCTTACCTTCAAATCCCACAGGGCTTAAGCACATCTTTAATATCAGCAAGTGCTTTAAAAGTATGCTCAAGCTCATCCCTGCTAAGAACAAGCACGTGACTAAAGGATCCACTGCTGAACCAGGGTCCAAAAGCTTTTGGGAAACCCTTCCAAAACATCATCACTATTATGTTAAGAATCAGCTCTTCCCACGAGTTTAACACCTAAAGAGGCTTTTCCCCCACCTCTATAGGCATGAGATATTCTAACACCTAGCACTCAAACGTAATTTAATTCTGCTTTGTGAAAACTGTAAGCATCCCACATGGACTCAGTTTACAAGTCACTCAAAAGGCTTAGGGTCATTAGATGGTCAGTCCGAACAAGTCTGTGTGGCACACACCAGGTACTTTATTTCATTAATCAAGCTTAAAACATGACATAAACAAAAAGATGTTCAACCTTACTGGCTATCAAAATCACCAGAGCTTACTCCTATGTGTAAGCAGCTCTTCTAAACCAAGGTCAGAGGAGAAGGTAGTACAGAGTACACCAACACAATTTGTTTTCATGTGTGGGCTCAATTGCAAACTGGATCCAAATTGTCAGATCTAGCTGAGAACGTAACAATGAATTTTATTTTTATTTTTTAAAGTAATCAGAGAATCCAGCCCTATTACTTGATTTTGGAGGTAAATACCTGTTCTCCCCCAGCGTCCATACACTAATAAGTTAGGATCAGCTAAACAATATTCAATAGTTCACAAGCCTGTTCTTATACCCAGGCAAGCGGGACAATGATTCTAATCAAGATACAGCTCTAGTTTTGTAAACTGAAGATCAGATAATCAGCAAGATAAACATGTAATCCTACTTGTGTACATGGGATACAGCTTGCCAAAAAGATACTATTTAAAGCAACAAGCAAGTGTGAGGAAAACAGTCTTTCACAATCTCATTCACAACTGGCTAACTGCAAAGCACAATCTTAACAGAGGCTGTGCCAATATCCTTGAGACTTTCCTCCAGGAAAAACAAAAAGTTCTATTTTTATTTAAGCACAAGTACAGTGTTCCAGAACTGTCATTATTAAACAGAGAAAGGACTGCTAAAGTATTTAGTTTTTCTAAACACAGTCCTCCGTCAAGCAACACAAGCAGCTGAAAGCTACTGTTTCATTAAAGACACTCAACTAAAGCAGTCTGCATTCAATAATGACCCCTCCCTTTTGCCTTGTGCTGAACTAAGCACATTAGGCACAACTGTGTTGGCCATAATTCTCATGGAATACACCAATCTATAAGATTTTCCCAACACATAGCTACCTGATTTGAAATGACCATATCCCCTCTACAGGGATTCAAGCGTATATTTTAAGTATGTCAAGTTAACATACATCCAACAACATCCCAAGGAAAGATTCCCCCTTCTTTCTGCACCATTCTGCAGTTTCACGTACCTCTGGTGCTTTGGAAGAGAGGATTTCCCAGACCTGGTCCCCATCTTTCCAAAGCAATCTTACCTTCCTTCATCAATGAAGTCTACTAAAAGTGTGCTGAGGATGAAGACAATGAGAAGGGCGATGAACATGTGGTAGATCGTCCTGATGTGACTCACTTCAAACAGCTCACTACGGGAGAGATTTAAATGCTATCAGGCCATTCGCATAGCACGTCACACCTCCAGTATATTAGCTTTCAACAAATTTCATGGTAAGGTAAGATGACATCACTGCCATCCCAATTCAAAGGGCTGAACACAATTTGAGTGCCAGTCTACAGACACTTTCTCAGTTTATCCACAAAGGACAATTAGCCATTATCTTAGTGGTACTGAGTGGACTGTAATGAAGACTTACATTCGGGAAGCCTGCAAGCTGCAATAGAGATGTTTTAAAAAGAAACAGAGAAGCTTAAACGGATTACTCCACAGGGGTTTGAATGTAAGACTGTGGGGGATGGTGGGGAGAATACCTCAAAGCAAAGGCTTGTTAGTGTATCATGGGTATTTTCAGTTAATTTAATGGAAAACATGTACTTAAGTTACTCACTCCAAGAGGGACCTCCTGGCAGTAAAGATCTTCCCATGTTCTGGAGGGGCCCTCAAAGTCCTGCAAACAAAGAGGAGAACATGTGAGACAAGAAAGGAAATAAGGCTTCCAGGAAACATAACCTTGCTATAGGAACAGCTTAAAACTGACATACTTGGCTTTGTGCAGTTCCTTCTCTGAGCAGGAAGCCGGGAAGATGGAGGCTGAAGATGAGGAATCCAGGAGTGCTGATTTTGCCACCAAACTGTTCACAAACTCTGTGAAATGACTGTCCACTTCCTTCATGAAAGCTGGCTTCAATTGCTGACAGCAAAAACAGAGCAGAAAGTTGTTTAATTCTCTGGATGCATTTTAATAAAATATTTATATTCTTTTTATCCCAGAGCAGGGCAGAGCAAGGCATAAAGAAAACTTTCTTGTACTATCTGCTAACAGTTGGAGCCAACTTGGAGAGAATCAGGGGCCTATCCCAGCCTGTTCACACACCTCAGGCCAGAGGACTTTAAGTAATGTTTATTTTCTCTATCAGATGCAACACAGAGAAGCAAAGTAAACATACTGATCTTTGTATATATTTCTGGACTGGCAGGTATTTCACATATGCTGTGGTGCCAAGAAGGTTGAGCTAAACTTAATAAATGAGACCCAGAAAACATTTCTCAATTTTAACCAGTTACATCCTTAGCATACAACACTTACAGCAAGATTTACTTTTTAGCCCATCTAGTGTTATTGAGGGAAAAATGGACTTTTTCCACACTTGTGGCTAAGCAATGACCACTTATGTTCTCATACATTAACACAGAAGCGATCTTAACAACGCAAGTGCAGGAAGGGGGACCAATTGCACCCCTCCACTGCTACTGCTGTTCGGATGAAAACTTTCATGTACCATTGAAATTACAGAATGCACAGAAAATTTCCACAAAAGCAACAAAACAGGGTAACATTGCTAAGCATTAAGACTGAGAAGTGAGAGGGACAAAACTGCTAGGCAGCAAGACTAAGTTCAAGAATTCAGGGGATCAAACACCCCAGCTGAATCTCCTATGCTCCCTTTTCTTCAGACAGCTTTATACAGGTCGTCTCCTCTATTACAGCCAGTTGTGACATAGTTATACCATTTTTAGCCTATTCCTAATTTTCTTCTCTCGTTTTATTAGACAAAGACAACTTCTGGAGCATATGAAGTTACCCAGACAAGGACTATAATTCATCTTCAAAATGCAGATTGTAAAATGCTAAGATGTTTTCATATCCTTTTTGTCTTGCCCAAAGACTAGCATATGTAATCCATTCCTCTGTTTTCCTGTCTGCAATATAGTTGGATCTGCTATTTAGGCTCATAATATGAGCTTTCAAAGACCTCATCTCCCACACTCCAGGCAGAGTTTTTAAAACTAGATGCATTTAGAAGAAACTGAGTAATAAAATGTTCAAAGTTAGTTATTTCTGCAGTAAGTGCTACACTGAGCTCTGGATAGGTCTTTGCTGTGGTGCAAATTCTCTTCCTCTTTATATGCAGAGAGGATCCCAAGATTTGTACAGTGGTGTGTTACTCTTATGACTAGAAAAAAAAGTAAGCAAAATTAATTTCCTCAAGGAAAGAAAAAGACAACATGCATTCACTGTATTTCAGTGAGAAATTTGGGAAGCTAAAGACCCTAAGACCTCTGGCACTTCTGAAGACAGTGGTTTATAAGACTGACAGTTTAGTTCCTTAACACCCAGTTCAGTCCCCCAGACACCAAATGGTCTTCCCAATACTTGAGCCTAGTGATGAAGCATGGCTGAAAGCCAACGCCTGACATCCTGAAACATAAGCCTTTCTAGAATGCTCTGCCAGATAGCCATCATCTTCATCTCAGGAGGCAGGCAAGTTTCAAGAAATTATTTCAAATCTAATTGCATACCGTGTTTTGCTTTTTTATGCAAGTGTCTGTTGGAAACATTTGTCTGACCATCTTTTTGCATGGGATTTTTCAAGTTTGCCTCCTGATCCAAGACCCAAGTCTTCCTACATGCTAACTACACATTTTTTTCATCTAGTCTTCCTACTGATCAGCTGCTTAAACATATGTTCCCCTGATGACCTTTGGAATTCCCGACTGCTACCTACTTTCTAATCTTTAAGGTTGAAAAAGTAACAAAACCAAGAAATCCATTTTCAAGGAGGGAAAAGACACTTGAGCTCATTTGTCAGTCGGTGTTTAGCATAATAGTTAGGCACTGACACATAAAGCAAGCTGGAGCAGCATTGCTTTTGCTAAAAAGGAACAGGTACAAGGTCTAAGAGAAGAAGGAAAAGTCAGATCACTGAAACAGCACCTGTTAGCTCTAAGCTGCAGCAGTGACATGTTTACCTCTTACACAGACCTCTTTCTACAGCTATGTTTTAAGGAGTCTGATTTCCACTGATGGACACTTGTCATCCATGATATAGCCTTCATTATCCAAGCATGGTTGGACTGATTTTATACAGCAGATCTAAACAGGACTCAGCTAAAAAGCACTCTCTAGAAGCAAAGCTTTGAGGCTAACAAAATATATTAGTAGAAGATGTATTCTTACAAAATGCTACAATCTAACATGACAACAGCCAAGCAAACAAGTTTAACTCTCTGGCAGGAAATACAAGACAATCTGAGATGAGACCACATAAACCCAGGAGACCCTGAAGTCAAGATGCATCAGAACTCTACGTTCCTCCTGTTTCAGTGGTCAGTTCCAGAGAGATCTCTTGAAACAGAAGCTGCAGTAGGGGACAGATTAATATTTAACTTAATAAAAATATTTTTGCCCCTATTTGGCAGCTGCCAGTATAGAATAAACAAGCTTCACTGGTACTTAATGAAACAGCAGCTCTTAGGAGCTGGCTACTGTTAGATATTGCTTTTCTGGGAGGTAGAGAAGATTGTCTCTTGTAGAGATGTCGATCTGCTCCTTTAAAAACAGGAGAAAAAAGTTAATTGAGTACTTTGGAACTACAACCTCTAACAGAAGACACCAGTGCTCTCTGGCACAGCCTGCTTTTACAGCATGCATGCACATATCACTGCCAAAAAAAGTCAAATAGAAATTTCTGCTCCTCTTGGAGTGCTCAAATTTCCATGCCAAACAAAGCACTATTCATTCCTACCAAAATCTGTCATTTTGTTTAAAGACTCTCCCCTTCTTTTCAGCCCAATCTCCTCCCAGCAAGAGTTTAACAGAAATTATTTCCTTAAATTACATCTTCCTTTTACAATTAGCATTCTGCTGAGTTTGCCTCCTCCTACTACAACCCTCCAGGGCTGACATCAACATATGCATGTGTTTGGATTGGAAGAGCAGGGTATGCGTTCTTGTTAGATTAAATAAAATACGATACAACCAGAGCATAGATCTTACAGTAACTGCGTACAACAAAACTTCACAACATATTGTGCTATATTATCAGCTATTACTATTGCTATTCAAAGGGCAAACTACTTGATGAATTGCCAAGGTAACTGTGAGTGCTCAATAAGCCAAGTGCATTCCACCCAGTTACCAGAGAAATGAAACTTAAGAGAGTATACACCTCCCACCAGTCTTCACTATGACAGGGCATGGATACACAAATGGCCTTGTTGTTGCTTCCCCCAGAGAGTACTTAACCAAGAGTTTCCTAAAGTATGCTTGAAGTCACAGACAAGGAACTGGGCAGGTCACTCAGCTGTCACCATTAAGTTTTAAACAAAAGAATCAGATCATTACAAAAAAAAGAAAGGGCGGCAAGTATGAAAAAAATGCTGTAAGAGCCAGAAGCTGGCCAATAATTTACGAGAAATCGAAGAAAGTTGAGGGAAGTAACTCTGAAGCTTACTTACAAAGAGAAAGTTGCACAAGTTCCCCAGCATTTTACTCATTCTAACAGATTTAGTAATTTCAGTCACTGAAACATGATGACATCCAGCCCTGACCAGGTGACAGAACACACCATTCTCAACTCAGAACAAAGGGCTAGATTTTCAGACTGAACTGCAGACGCATGAAGGCATTCTACTTCAAATAACACCTAGCACCTACAAATCCCCTTTAAAACAGTGGGAGTTGTCAGTAACCAGCGCTTCTCAGAAGTCAAATGTCTGTCTAGACCTCAAATACCTATCACCTAAAGAGTAAAATGCAATCCAAGCTTTTTGTTCAGTGGTTCACACAGCAAAAGTGACAGGCACTGCAGGAATTCTCAGGAGTTTTGCAGTAGATGGATGCTTTTACATAGCCTTATATCTATTATTGTGGCTTTGAGAAACCTTACACAAATTTGCAAGTTGCTCAACCCAGGGTTTAGAACCTGAACTCACCCTGTTTTGGGAGAAATGTCAATAATTAAAGTGCCAACTCATGGTTTCTTCAATTCTCTTTGCAGACAAGAAATCACTTTGTCTAAGAACTAGTGTGTCTCAAAGCTGGTGGCCAGAAAAAAACATTTAGAAACAATAGATGTTCCTGAAGAAAGAAATCCAAGATCGAGTTGTCCCCCTGCAACCAGTAAGTGGTCTCTGGAACTTGCAAAGCTACACATCCTTAACAGTCAAAGCTTTCTTGTGCAAGCATCTATTGCCAACATAGTCATTTGCAGTGGCTATTTTGTCTGCCAAGGAAAGATATGAGGCTTGCTCTAACATGTCCTCAGTAAGAATCATGCAGAGAAGACAGCGTCCAAAAAATTCAGAGCTGACTACCCCTCTAATGTGCTAAATTTTAGGAGTTTCAGCACAAAAAGCAGTACACCCTTTGCAGAAGACATTTAAATACACTTTAGTTATATCTGTTACAAATTATACACTGCCTATAGAGGTGAAAAAGAGACTTTTAAAGAGGAAAACATCTCAAAGGTGCAAGATATTTTTCTCTGTCTTACAAGTATCCACTCCCTAATATTCACATAAGGGTGGCACAATTAGATTACTTCATCTTTACCATGGAATTCTCTGCATTAAAATGAAGCAAGAGTGCAGGACGATTTGCCCTGAAGAACATACATACTAGAAAACAATGGTTAACAAGGAAGGTGCAGTTCCTTGTTAGCTAACTTCATTTAATTTGGGCATAAATCACCTTAACATAAGCTAAGACAATGGCAGCTCATACAGATGCAGACAATATTAGAAATACCCAGTGCTATTTCTTCGAGGTTATTGCTTACTGACAAAAGAGTGGGACCAAGGATCAGGAAGGTCATCTCCCCAGCTAGGGCAACAGAAGCTGTGGGAAACAGGTTACATGCTAGCCTTTACTCAATGGATAGCAGGACACAGAGCATTTTAAAGACTAAATACGCCAACAGGCTAGCTGATAATTACACTGCCAAAAGTTAGTTGTGAGAGAAGTTCCATTTTATCTACAGGCCTCAAAGTTCATTCTTATCTTTGGACTTCAACCCATTGGGGTCAAATAAGACAGAACTGCATTTGATAATACTACCTCTCTTGTGAAAAGTCAGAAGAGAGGAGGAGGAGAGAGAAGGCTGTATAAAAGTCACTGCACTCAAGCTATGGCTAAAGAGGGATATTTGTGTTCCAGGACTAGTGACTCTCCAAAAGACATTCAGAGTCAATTATCCCACTCCTCCCCACCAGCAAGCATTAGAGTATATTTACCTCAGCTTCTGCTATTAGCTGCATTTTCCTTGTTATCACATGGTCAACATCAACCCGGCCTAAGGAAGGAAAGCAAATATTTAACAGTTGCATTTTCAGTGATGTGAGCTGCACATCTGAACACACAGAAAGCACAACATACTGTAGCTCAGTCATTGATTTTTTCATTAGCCCTTCTGACTTCCAATAAGGTCCCAGTAAATCCAAAACTAAGCTTCAGGAAATTCATAAGCTATGACCAAGTATTTTAAATAGCCATTTAGGATAACAGTGCTGTAAGGCAGTCAACAGCTGATAACATGCTGTATTGTCAAAAGCTTTATTTTCCATCAGCAACTCTGCAAATCTTCCCAAGGTCCCTAAACGTATTCAGCCTTGAAACAGCAATTAGAACAACCCTTAGAAGGTCATATCCAAGTGTGCTGATCTTTTATCAGAGCTTTATCTTACGCACAGTGAACTAGACATAAGATTAGGTTGTCTGGAGGTCTCTACATTGCCAATAGACAAGGCAGTCAAGTCACTACTATCTGTAAAATAATGTAACCAGCTCTGAAGACAGGCTCAGTGGCAAGTTGGAAGGTTATCCTGCATTCAAAGCTGGCTGTCCTCCCTCCATCCCCCCAGGAGAAATGCTAGCCGTCAGAGTGTATTCCTCAATATGTTTCATTGCTTAAGCAAACAGTCAGGTCAAACCATGCCATGAACATCATCCGACTTTTATCATTACTAATACCACTGGCTCATATGTAAAGCCTCAAATATCAGCTTTCTTTTGCATAAAGAAGTATTTCTTTTTTTCTTTTTCATATTTCTTTTGCATACACATCGAGATGCCTCTATTACATCAAGTGGAACATATACAAATCAGACATTTTAGACTAGTTAAGTTTTAAGACAAGGTTTGTCTGCAATAGTTGTAGAGTGCTGGCAAGCCAGCTGGTGTTTCACTTCTCCAATAAGAACTACAACACAGAAGATAAAGTTACTTAAAACAGTCTTGCACATGAAGGAAAAACAAGATTAAAGCAGCAACATCCACCCCCCTAAAATACTAGTCAGGGTGAAAAGATAGCAACAAACCTTGCCTTGTGCATGTCCTTTGGCAATTATAGCTACAACAATACCTTACAGAGTAACACATGGGTAGCATTACAACTTTCACGTTCAGTATCTAAGACAACATTACCACTTTTAGAAAAAGAGGGTACTGAACTGATTCTCTAGTAACGTTTCCAGTGAAGCATGAGCTAACAGATTTGCAGCAGAGGTGTCAACATTGTACTGCTGTGTAACGAGAAGACATTCATAGCAATATCACAGTTCATAACGCAGCATCCTTGTCTTGTCCTCCTTGTATGTGCACAGACTATGCACACAAAAATGCACAGTGCGTTGTTTCAACAGAAGCAAGTGCTTCTGTGATGCACACTAGTCTGAGAGTGCTCTTATAAGCAACCAGTTGTAAGAAGTTTAGGTAGACCTGCTTCAGAGATGACTCCAATTCCAATACTGGAAAAGAGTTAAATGAAACGAGAATATCTTTAACAAAGCTATGTTCAATTTTTAGCATTAATTCTGCACCCCCCCCAATCAAGCAGGAAGATCGAGTTTTGTCTATAAAAACTGCTACACAAGCTATAGATTTAAGAACAAACCAGCAACAGCCGCCTATTACTTAGCAGCCTTGTAATGCAACAACAAACAAACTGTTTAACACCATAAATTTTTGGATGCATGCAAAGATCCATTTTACAAAAATAGAATTTCTGGTTGCTAAGCATCTCACCTCCAAGACAAAAAAATTACCTCAGCATTTAAGCTCATTATGCTGTTACATTTGCCGAACAGCAGCATTTTGGAAAACAATTCGAGACAAGAGTGTAAGATACCACTAGAGAGTCCCTTGTCCCACTCAGCTCGTGCACTTTGCTGGTGTCAAATGGATTCCACCTTCTCTCCTCCAATAAATTAGAAAAAAATAAAAACCAAGTTGTTCCACAAGCAGAACTGTATCCCCTTCATATCATCTCACTGTCTCTACTCCCACAATGGCAACTGCACATATTGTATTCATAGCCCCCTCCCTCCATTACCACTATGCTAAGAACTACCTTGTGCTTACCTGGTACAAAGCAGACAGGACACAACTAACCTTTTCTTGCAAAAAGGTTAAGAATTTGTGTGTCTTATCCAGCTGCCAGTCTTCAAGACTATCTATTTGCTTGAAGCCGTCCAACACGGCCAAAGAGGACAGAACACATGAGACCTAAGGGATTGCACTATTTCCTTTGTAAGCTAAGCTAAAAATAAACAACCATTGCTTTGACCATGTATTTCCTGTCAGATCTTGTATTCGAAGCCTCAGCTATTATAACTACCCAGGACTAGCTCACTTTGGAAATAAAACACCCTTTTTGACTTACAAGGCCTTACAGATGGATATAGTTTTACAAATACCTAATGTACAGCTTTAACGGCTGTACAGGAAACGAGGCCAGTCTCTAACCTGCTGATGTAATTGCTAAATTGTATGCAGCGTCCCTCCTATCACTTTATTCACCCACACACCTGTGTGTATTCACAGACTAGACTAGAAACACAGCATCTTTTAAAAGACTTTAAAAAAAAAAAAATCAAGATCGCCATGTCTTTAGCATATGCATCTCAAAGTAAAACCACCCGTAAGCTTGCTGTTTCCTTTCCAGAACAAAGAGCCTCCTGTAGAAGAAAACCCACCCCAAAACAACAACTCATTCTGCTGTGTTGCATCGCCCCATAAACTCAAGCTGCGTCACAAGGCAGATACCAGAGAACACAAACTCATCACCTTCTTGAATCACTCATCTTCCATTGTGCAAGGCGCTACTTATGTTCTGTGAGGTCATTCAAGAAGAGAATCATCACATGATTTTGAGTCTAAAGGGAATTGTGCACTGCTGAGACGTCCAAATCTTCATTTTCCTTTGACACTGAAAATGAAGACTGGATCACTCTGTATCACTTTAGGATTGCAACATTATGACAAAAATGGACTCAGGGCTGCACAATACAAGCAAGCACACCTCAGCATTTACAACAAGATGGGATATGCCTTCAGAAAATGGGAAATGTATTTAAAGTTATAAGGAAGTAAATATTCTTTGAAGACTAGTACAAAATAGTAGCAAATTTCACAGGAGACTGAAGCAGGGTTTGCTTGGAAAGAGCTTTGCTCACAGGGAGAAATTTTAACTTAATGGGAGCTGTGTTCCCTTCCCATCAGCAGATGTTGATAAGAGCTTTAGCTGACCACTTGGCTTTGGCTTGTAGAAACTGATCCTTGTAGGATGTGACACCTCTGCACAGCCCAAATTCCAAGCAGGTTCAAAAGTCAGAAGGGAAAAAAAAAAAAAAACAAACAACAAACCGAAAAAGAGCAACTTAAAACGTAAGCTTCATTTCCATAGGAAACCAGGCTAATAAAAGATCACCTGAAGACTGAGAAAGCTTCTTATTGTTGAGAACTTGAGCAAATGAACTTTCACAAGAGATTTACAAGCTCCCTTTCTTAAAGGATCTCATTGTCCCTTTTTCAACCTACTCTTGTACATGGTACAGATAAGTGACATTTGAGATGACTAGAAAAGCACCCCATTCATATAATCTGTTAGTGTTGCAGCTTGGGATCCAACAAAAACAACTTCTATGTAAGATGCTAGCCAGCACTCTACTAAGCAAGCTCTCAAAAATTAACTGTGTTAAAAAGCATTCATTTTATTTAACTGCTACAGTCTGCAATTACCACTAAGGGCACAACGGGGAATAAGTAATTTGAGTACAGCTGTGGCTTGCTTGCAGTGCTACAGTTCCAGCCTGTAGTGACTTCACCAGTTGCAGAAGCTGCCCGCAGCCCAGCACTGTGAGCCATTGCCACTTGAACTGTTCCTGCACTGTGCCAGTAAGTTTATTATTGAGCAGTTAGAACAACCCAGGGAGACTACTGCTATCTAAATCCCTGCACAGCATTCAAGAAAAAATTGCCTCTTTGCAGAAAAGCTAAGAAAAGCAAGCACACGAACAAACGTTGGTTTATTGCCACATACAACTCAAAAAAGACACTTCTCAGAACAACCAAGCACACCACTCAGTTCAGAAGCGTTTGCCCCTAATGTCAGGATCTGTTTAGCTTCAGGATCTTCATGGAAAGTCACACATAAAAACTGTACCCAATACTGCCCTTCTCTAGAAGAGTTTACAAATATTATCTTCATTATTTCTTGTTCAGATAACTTACCATTCAAGAGGTTAAAGCAACATAGCCAGAAGGATTTAATTACTGTCAGATACCTGGATTCAAAGGCTCCCTTTCTTAAAAACACTGAAGATGTTATCTGAAGGAAAGCAATGTCAAAGCCAACCTAGTGCAAGGCTACTGTAAAGAGGGGAAGTCTTCCATATCTGATACAATACAACATATGTTAATAATTTAATGCTAGTAAGCCTTATTCTGATTTATGGTAATTTTTTTGGCCACTCAGCAAATAGAGGTAAGTTATGACTAGATCACTCCCAGAGCTCAGCTGATCTGCTTAAAGAAAGCATAGTCCATAGGTCACTGTGCTGCAGCTGGCAAAGAATTCAGTTAAAAAGTCATTTCTGCAGGCACAGGGGACCCAAACAGCATCTTCACTAGCAGGAGGAAATACCAGCATTCTCTATGCCACACCAGCATGTCCACAGGCTCCTTACAAGAAACTGCCCAGAATCCACCTAGTCTCAGACAAGACAGCTGTTTGATCCATCTCCCTGAAACGCATCCAAGAAACTCAATTCAAGCAGCTTTCAGCCTTCACCAAACCCACGTGTTGCAAAACTTGAGAGCACCTAGAATTACCAGAATCCACCTAGTCTCAAACAAGACAGCTCTGTTTGATCCATCTCCCTGAAACACATCCAAGAAACTCAATTCAAGCAGCTTAATCCCAAGTTCATTAATCCATAAGAAATAGCCTGTTGATACAATGAACGCTTATTGCTAGGAGTCAGACAGCAAACCCTAAAGCTTTCCAAATTACTCCCGGTTTTAGAGCTCCCTCCTCCTACATCTATCAGTAGGCACACACAATTCATGTGGCTTCATGAACTTTTGCACTGAGAATGATCAATAGTAACCTCTTCATTGGAAGACAACAACCCCTTTCTAAGACCAGCATTACCAAACAGGCTTACTCATAGCAAACAAAGATATGCCACATAGCTTGTTTGGAGATCAGTCTCTGGAGACACTTCTAATCCTTTTCTGATTTCCGAGGAAACAAGGGCAGACTCCACAACCATCGTTTACTGTTTTGAGTGGTCTAATCTTAGCATTTTAGAGGCAATCAGATACACATGTCCTCTCTAACCTTTTAAGACCTGCCCATCCAATTTCCATTATGCACATTCCAGGTAAGTTTTCCTGCAATGGGTACTGCTTGATATCAATATCCCATTAAGCAGAACAGTTTTAGATTTATTTATGTATCTGCAGCTGAAAACATAAGACTAATCTTATTAAGGAAGCCCAGCTTTTGACAGGGGATTACTGCTGCCTAGATCACCTGTTGACTCTATGCCAGGACCAAATTAGTTATTTAATTATGACACTGGAGTCAATTCAAGGAGAAGTGATATACGAGACTGAAGTTCAGCTACTCTGTCAAAGTGAAATTACAGGCTGAACGATTACAAGATACAAATACATCAAGGGACAGAAAAATTCCTCCAGCAATCTCAAAGCTATGAATACTTCCACACTGCTATAAATCTGGGTGTACATGAGTACAAACTACTCAGTCTTAGAACTCAGCAAGCAACAAGGCAGTTTTCAGCAGAATTGATGAGGCAAGGAAAAAATAACCTAAACTATACAAACGGAAGCGTCAGACATAATGTGTCTCTAAAGCCAATATATGGATTAAAATTACTACTCCAAGCAATTTCAGATCAGCCAGCGCATTTGAATTTTAAAGAGAGGATTAATGGCCTAGAAGTTTCCGTAGAAAGTTCACACACTTCTGGAAACAAGTCAGTTGGCCCTTGACACATTAACTCTTAAGTTAAAAAGCAGATTGTGTTTGCTAATCAGGGAGGATCAAGGGTGGAAAATCACATTAGCGATTTAGTTTTTCTACAGAAATAATTACTACAAAGACACTATAATATTTATTTGCATAGAAGATACTGTCTTGACCTGGTTAGAACCCCTTGACTGCAATAAACATGCATCTTGTCTAAAATTCAACATAACACCCAGAGTTAAGATGGTGAAGTATAAAGAGAATGTTGCCAGACGTAGCAGCCTCATGCTGCCTTTGTATATGTCAGTTCTAATGCCTCAGAAACAGCTATTCAGAAGTGAAAGGCTGGGACAAAAGAAAGCGAGAAAAGAAGTCTACGGCTACTCCTTTAGAAAAATTTTTCCACCTCAGCTGTGCTTTCACAGAGAGCCCTGCCTACTAATGCAAGCATACTGGACTACATGAAGAGGCTACTGCCTGGAACACTTTTAACTTTGTAAAGCCTCAACCTTTGTGCCAGAGAGATACTGCTTTAACTCCACTGTAGGGAGGAAATCCTGACCAGAGGGATACATCTTCCTCCTGGGCCTATAATGTGGTCAGGCATCAGAGACTGACTCATGTCTCCTAATTCCTGTTGTCCCCATCACTGTGCTGAGCAAAGACCCTGCAGAAACTGGTAACTGCTAAGTATCTTTGTGACACTTCTGCTGAATGGGTAGCAACCCTGGAAGGTAAGAGGCACCAAGTCTTAACTAACCAGGATTCCTCCACACTGTCCTTCACTGCAGTTTGTACTGTAATAACACATTACATTGTTCTAAGTCAACCCACCAGGCACATGTACATGCATGAAAGCTCAGTACACTTTCACAAGATCTGCCCCAGAATGCTTACTTGCTACGCACGCACAGCATCTCACCTGTAGTGACATTATGCCACATCTCAGAGGTATTAAAATGAAAGGCTTCTAAAGACAGGCACACCTACCTATCAAGTGCTAATTATCACAGCTATATTTATTCTTTACCCACAAGCTGGCAAGAACTCAAATTCATGCATAACAGTTAAGGTATTCCATAGATAAAAAGATAGGAATCTGCTTCTAAAACCACCATAACTGTTGCCCAGTAGCCATCAACTCCTTGCAATTTCCTAAAACCAGCATTAATGGAACAGTCCCATTTGATTCAATTAAAACGATGGTATCACCAAAATCCCACTTCTCCAAATAGTTTGTGGGATGGCTTTCTCTCAAATGTATTTTTTGCAAGAAGAAATCTGACTTGTCCTAAACTTGTTTGCTCGAACTCCCATTTCAGTTGAAAAAAATACTATTGAAATAGTACCAACGTATTCAGAACCATACCAGTAAGAACTATCTCCTTAAGTCACTGGTACCAGTGTTTTGGAACTTACACTCACATGGCACATTGTGATAGACTAGCTTAGCTTTTTGCTCGTTCCATCTCCCAGAGAGAAAGGAAACAAGCTGCAACTTCATTGTTAACCTCCTTATCACCAGGCTGGAATGTGGTACAACATAGCCCAGGAATTACAGACAGTTACAGTGTCCACAGGCAAAATCACTCAAACTGCCACACAACTTTCCCTGCAAATCAAGGGATAGGACATAGGCAGTGATGCTTCCACAAAGCCAACTATAAGCCACATTACTTTTAATGTGACCACAATATAAATGAATACAAACCCAACTGTGTATTGTTCTATCACATCTTTTAAGGCAGCCAAGGTTGAGACTGTATAGAAGGGAGTTGTTTTGACATAAACAGAGCCCCACAGGAGCAGACAATCATTCTTTGTGGTATCCTACTGTCTATCTGTCTGTCAGGATGGATACACCAGCTTAGCCTGCTATGTCAAAGATCATTTTGTTCAATCCTGAGGAAGCCACATGCTTAAGGTTTGTAAAGGAAGCAAGATGAAGTCCCCAGAGAAAGCATTTATCAGCATTACTCAAAAATGTTGTCAAGATGCATTTGCACCATTTACAACATTAAAGCACCTCCTCCTCATCACACACACTTCTCTGGTGACAATTAATCACTATCTTTATTCTACACCCCTGTAAACACTGCAGTACACAGTGCCCGAGGGAAAGTTTGGCAGGACAGCACTCCAAACAACCTAACCCTGCTGAAGAACTGTAGTTGATACACAGGGAATTACACCTTGGGAGCCTTTCTACAAGGAGAAATGAAAGAGCCAATAGGCAAGGGCCACGTGCTAGAAAGGACACCTTACAGGAGATCACATGCCAGAGATGCAACTAACCCCGAGTGAGAGAATCTCACCATTGCTCGAGTTTTGAAATGACCTCTCGCTCTCAGGTCTCCTCTGTGTTTCTTCATTCTCAGGCGTCTTGCAGGTTGTAGTGGAGCCAGACTGGCGTTTTCTTACACAGTCATCACCTGCCATTGTTGCCTAGATAGACCAGAAAAGGATAGCAGATAATTAGTGACAAAAGAAACTCATTTACTCTTTACATTGTTCAAGAATAAATTTACATATCCATCTTTAGTGTAAAGTCAGACTTTCTTCCCTCCATTAGGAATTCAGAGCAAGGGAAGGGGAAATGAAGCACACACTTGTATTAGTCATTTACCGTGGATTACACTTCCTCTCCCTTACTAGAAGCAGTAAAAGAACAAAGTAACCAAGCAAGTTCCCCCACCACTACCAAAATATCTCCCCACAGCTCCCTCCTTTCCTTACAGACTTTTTAAGTATTTAAAATAACTTAAGCTTTTGTGAAATCTTTAAAAGGCCAAGAAGCCCTTGAAATGCTTTCCAATAGTCAGTCAGACAGCAAAATTAGTCTTCGGAGAGATCTGGCAGGTTTGCTTTGCAGAATCACCCCGTGCTATTTTGCCTGAGCCAAGCCCTTTCCTGTCAAGTCTTCAGTTCTTACTGAAAAAGCAGCTTCCTCAATAGATCCTTGTACCCTGCTTGGCCACTCACAGTTGCATTGCAAACGACAGGAAAACAGGAAGAGAAAATAAGGTTTGAACTACGCCAGATTCAAAGGTCACTGCTGAGGACAAAGCTGCTCGCAGGGAACACCTGAAACACCACAGCGAGGCTAAAAACAGAAAACTTTCGGCTATTGAAAACAGGGAAAGGGGATTCTAGTTTTGCCACGAAGCAACATCCCAGCATACTCTCCACAAAATTCAGCTCAAGAAGCTCTCAGAGATGTAGCTACAACCAGGGACAATTTTCAGAACCAGACTTCCAGAAAACCACACAGGCATGTATGCAACCACATTTTCAAACCAACATTTCTCCCTTTTGATATATTTTTTCACCTTGGCACAAACTTTTAAATAGACATGTGTCTAGTTGCTAGTGAACAGAACACATGCACCAGCACAGACAAGCTGTTAAGAGACAGGCAAGAAAAATGCATGCACTTGTAGAAAAGCTAAGAAGGCAGAACACAATTATTTAATGATGGATTTCCTCAGAATACTAAGGCTGGCACTTCTGCAAAAGGGAAGTAAGACTCAGGACTTTTTCAAGACTCAGACATTTTCAGGACTCATTTTAAGCACTGTGTTTGTCCCTCCAGTAGAGCAGACTCCTATTCTCCTTTTGGGCATCACAGCGTAGAGGAGAAAAAACCCTCTGCAACACTAAACGACAAATCACTAATTCAATCACCAACACCATTTCTTGCAGCACTGCCTCTCTTAGCTCTCTCTGTCTCAGGAGATCACAGCCAGGTCTACAAGCTATAAAACAAAGACCATAAAAATGACAAACTTCACAGATGGCTTTGTACAACATCTGATAGCTCATATTATGAAATTTAAATAATGCAAAAAGCATTTACATGATGAACAGAAAGAACCAGGCAATAATATGGTAAGTCTTCCTACAGTAACTATGCTCACTAGCACAGAAAGGTAGCTGGCAGGACTTACCCACTTCTACCAGTACTGTACAGTTACTGCTGCAGCCCTCCTGAATACCCTTCTTGCCTTTAAACACAAATCAGTCACCATCATGAACACATTACTATTTCCACCTTCCCCCAAGGTTCCCGGGACAGACATGGCCACGTGATGAGAGTATGAGAGCAAAGGATCATTTTGCCTGTCTGGGGCTTACAGCCTGGTGGAGATCCTGGACAGGTGGATGTTTCCATGTCTGCTCTTACACAAGAAAGATGCCCAAAACCCTATCAAAGCATAAGAATGGGTCACTCTGATCATGCAATAGGGTCTACAGAGCAACAGAGAGGGAAAACCAAGCTGCCATATGAATTCATGCATTAACAAGCTACTCCCTGGGCCACTAGCAAGCCGTTCCGCTACCTTCTGATCCAAGTTAAGCTGTTCTTGTGAGCCACATCTGCCCTTAAAGGTGCAAGTTTTCCAGATCTAACAGAGGACCACAAGTTTAATTCTTTCCTCACTACACTTTTCAACTTATTCAAGAGGTGAAGAAAGCACTCCTTCCTCTCCAGCACAGAGTGGTTAGAGTATCTGACTGAAAGGCTAACAGAAAGGAGTTAAGGTGTTGCAGGATGCGGGAAGGAAAAATCACATGTGGGAGAAAAGCAAAGTTAAAGCAATTAACTTAAGAGTTATTCAATTCAGACAGGCTAAGTGATCATGACCACAACAAAGCCTTTTCACACCAAACAAGAACTGTGCTAGGGAAAATCTACAAAACCAAACATTTTCCTAGTGTAGTTTCCCTATGACTAGAGGTATAACATCACAGTACTTAGGCAACTACCAGCACATCATTGCCTAAAGAAGGCATCAGACCTTCCCTCAAACCTCTGCTAGAGCCCCATCAATCACGAGGCAATGCCATGATAAGTCCAAAATGTTCACTACCTCCTTCACTAAAGGAAATCACTCTTCACAATCAGTAAATAGTCACTCCTTTCACCCCACTCTGGGCACTTGCGGGACATCTAGAACCACAAACGCATCCCATTAGCAGACTTCCCAGCAGAAACTCCCCGATTTTATCGGCGTGACTGCGTTATGGTACTTGTAGGTCTCAGAAACCTCGAGTTTCTCCATCTTCCCTTTCCAAACACTGGCAATTATAAGCATGCCTTAGGAGAAAAGCAACACCCTGTAGGCAGTAACTAACATCTCTGCATTTCAGAAGGCTTGGTAGCGAAGTGAGGGCACATCTTCTACTTCCAACAGCCCTCCAACAGCGCTTATGCTAAATAAGATTACCCCAAACACCTTTCAGACTTCCTTCGGCCCTTGGGCATAGCGTTATCTAGCAGACCCGGTGCTACACCCTCGGTGTCAGACGAGCTCTTCCCTAGCAGATCCC